TTTTTTTGGCGTTCGCCCGGCAGACATTTTTTTGTCCTCTCGTTTGTTGAGCCGTTTTGTGCATCGGCAACGGCTTCGGCTCTTTTCCGTGTCTTGCGCCACGTCGTGGTCGTTCTCGTTTCCCCTAGTAATACTCGTTTTCACCTACAGCTTTTTCCACAGCGGTTATATATACCCGACCATAAGACCATGTATAAGATAAACGATTCTGAGCGAAAACGGTCAGTCAGACTATAATATTACTAAATATATTTAATGATATTATTGTAATCATAGGCGTGTTTACGAGAGGGGCCGGGTGGGCACTGCCCCCCCCCCCCCGGCAGACTGTGCCTCCAACAAAATCATGCCAGAATAAAAAAAAAGTCGTGTGGTGTGTACCCTGCAGTATCTATAGGTATTTTGATTAATTATATTTTTTTTAGTTACGCATTTATTAATTAGTGATTATATTATCATATAATTTTTTTTTATTTTTTATTGAAATAAATCTACAATCTATACATTAATTTTTGTACAATAAGTAGGTTTGGTAAGTGAATAATAAAAGGTTAACATGAATCATGCGATTAGTTAGAATACCCAGTGGTAACTGGTAATACCCTATAATATTATACCTAACAGGTATAATAATCGTATAATATGGGGGACGGAGTGGCCGAGCGGTCTATTTTTTTTTTTGATATTTATATAAAAAAAAACTTTTTAAAATAAGTTTGTGTTTAATTAGGTTTTTTCATTACTTAAATTGTAAGTAAGTGCCACAAGTAATACAAAAATAATGGGTAAATTAATAGAACGATTACAAATTACAATATCAAACTATTATCTGTACATTTTGATTTTTTGTTGCTTATTATTTTAATCTATATCTTCCAAACCAAAAAATATCACCAAAAACTTGTTATTACTCATCATCGAATGAAAAAATAAATTTTGAGTTTCTCAAATATGCAAATGTTTGAAATAACTTTATAATTCAGTTTTATGTTTTGCTACGTACGTACCCCTCTACTCCGCCACTACACATAGTTATAATACACAGTATCCGTGGTACTACGGTAACACATAAATAGTTGAGATGATGTGAGCATTGCACACAGACCCTGGGAGAGCAATATTATAATCTAATTAGATATTGGCACTAGTCCAAGACGGCCGCGGGTGTACTCGCCTGGTAGACCGATACCCCGCATCGTCCGGAGGCACATCATAATTCAGTATTCGCACTAAGAACCATCTAATTATGAAAGGCCCCCTGGACTGTGGGAACCCAAGACGCAGTCCACCAGGGATCTAGCAAGAGAAGGGATAGGACTATATAGGAGCCCCGAGAGCTGTCCATCAGACAGACGTGATGTACCCACCGTACGTATATGCACACCTGTGCCTCTTCAATTTTGGTAGTCACTATATTTTCTCGTTTTGACTCAGATTATTTTCGTCAACGGCGTATTCCGGACTTAGAGAATATTCAAGCAATCTCTTATTTTCTAAGGCACCAGTATTCTTCGTTAATTTGAATAATCTAATAGTAGGTATTTAAATTCAACTTGTCTTTTATTTTCTATAATTTATAATAAGCATTACATCGAACCACAAATTGTTGATCATTTGACCATCATTGTCTGTAAGTTGGGTGCAAGCAACAGTGGTTTATTAACAATAACATAAAAAGTAAGTACGATAGGCAAATTCTGATTCCACCAAATTGTTGAGCATATAAATACATACATTTCTAAAAAAAAAAATTTCTAAAATCTTAAATGTTTTGTATTTTAAATTCAGAAACACTATTTTTGAAAAAATTGAGAATTTTGAAGTTTTTTGACCATAACTTCCAAAATAAGTTCGACCAGCTGTTTTTGAAAGTACCATCAAATCAGGCATGCGAAAACACACATTTTGAAAAAAAAAATTCCAAAAAATCGCTTGGGAGCTAAACTGCATTTATTCCCATTTTATTTTACCTTGTTCTGTCAAAATTGTCTATATGAAAATTATATTTAAATGAAAACTAGTCTTGCCAATTGGCAATGATGTGCTTATTTAAAACCAGTACTTAAAATTTAAAAGTAATTAAGATAAAAATATACAAAACAGAATAATGAAATATTGTTGTTTATAGTCTTATAGATAATAACAAAAATACTTATTAAGTATACAAAAGTATTAGCTTAAGTATAACACTTTACACTAGTATATAACAGTGTAGGGTGTAGGTTAGGTTAAGGTAGGTTAGGTTAAGTTATGTTAGGATACATACTTAATTTAATAATAAAAAAATAACAATATACAGTTATGTACCTATACAAAGCATATTTCATTCTATCCAGCAAAAAGCTTACATTGAGACTAGAGTTATGTATGTGAGCTATGTTATTATTTAATGATAAACAACTAATAAGACGTGTTCGAATATTACTAATTAGATCTCACGTAGTAGTGTAGTACAATAATATTATCTTAACAGACTACATTTTTAAATATTTTTTTGATAATTATATATATATACAATATACATATAGCGTATATTTTACATTTCATACATTTTAGTATTATAATGCATAGTTAGTAATAATTGTAAATTATGCATAGCATTACTTGCTATAACGTCACTACTCGCTTATGAACCACCGTGACCAATATCAGTTTTCCCAACTTTTTAGTACAGAAAGAAAGTATTATTTGTTGCTATAGTAATGTTTAAAGTTAGTATACCTACCTCTGAACTTTTTATTATTACCTATTGACTCTAAAACGTGTAAGTAACTACGACTTTGACGCGGCCCGCGTTAGTAGCAAGTACAATGTACAAGCACTATAGCGACCAGTCTATCTTATCTCCAACCACCACCACGGGATGCAAGCAGCGCGACCGGGTTGACTCTCCCACCGAGCCGGTAACGGCAAGGCGGGACGGGGGGACTGTGTCGCGTAAGACGTACAACGGTCGGCGGAAAAGGCGATTCGAGATCCACCATCGGACCGTCGGACCGATAACATATCGTCCGACGTTAAACTCATCTGCCCGAGCGGCACGTCATGTATTGTTATATTTTGGTCGCAATATTATAATACATAATTTGTGACATTCTTAAAGTGTTTGTGTTGTGTTTATTTCATCACCTCAATCCTAACCAAACACTTCGACCGGACCACGATCAACCTTGAAGCAATCATCGTGTCCGCGTCAACTTTCCGAAAAGTTATAATTTTTTCTAAAAAATAAAAATAAATTTTTGCTGAAGGTTTGTGAGATTTTCTTTGATAATGTACGAGTGTACCTAATATTTGCACATTAATTAGGCCACGATGTCAAACGAATTGATACGACCCTTCGACATCCGACGGCCCGTGATCGTGAATGATTATACTCTGGTTGTTTTTATTTCCTAAGCACATTTATTTATTAATTATATTTCAAAATGTATAAAGGTGAGTTTCCACTTGACCGTTTGAGTGTACGTTAGGGTGACCATACGTCTCGTTTACAACGGGATTGTCCCGTTTTTTGAGCAGTAGATTTGTGTTTTTTTACATGTGTTTTGTGTGTGAGTGGGTGTGTTTCGAGGGATGCGGAGAATTTTCCCGTTTTTTTATTTTCTAAATATGGTCATCTTTAGTGTACGTATACAAGTATTCTTAGAAAATACTCCGGTAAGCACGGTTAATGTTGTTTTATACCCGTCTTGCGTTTATTTTCCGTTTTTTTTTTTACTTTAAATAGTAGTAGAAAAATACGTTTGAAAAAGAACAAATATTGTGCATTATTCAAATGCATATTTTAAAGTCTATAGTTTATAATTTTTGGAAATCAAGCTATGATCCGACCTGAAAATTGTTCTCTTTTTTCAAATGAAAAAAAAATTAACTAAATTCGACTATTCTACAGAGCGTGAAAAGTTTTCCTGTAAGACATGTTTTTGTACTAAAAAACAAAAACAAAATATGGTTTTCCTGTTATCCATTATAATTACCAAGGAAATGATTCGTTTTGATGGGCTTATCCATTATAATTACCAAGGAAATGATTCGTTTTGATGGGCAATGTTAATAACAAGTTATTGTGAATAATTTAGTACCGACATTGTGAAATAAAATAAGAAAATATGTGGTAATTAACTCTAATTAATAGTTAGTAGGTACTTATATTCTGTTTACAGTATTACAATAAACATGAAATATTATAGGGAATAACACGCGTTTAGAAGGAAGATGACTATAGAACGTTTTGGAAAAAAATTAATATTTAAAATAACAGTTATTTAACGAAATAATAAAATAATAATAGTTTCAATCGATTTCAGAGATTTCTCCAATAAGATTCGATGCTCAACTCGATAATAAAATTGGTAATAGCAGATTTTATAGCGATTAAAATAAATTAAAGCAATGTGCACGGTTGTGCATGGGCGTAATATTTAATTGATTGTATAGTATTTATATTATTTCTTAATTGATCCGGGTGCAAATTCCCCTTAGACCCACTTCTATAGATTTGTGTAGGTATAGGCATTTGTAGGTGGCTCATAAAAATATAAATTTACAATCATAATAATATTATATACATGATATAAATATTTTTTATCAACAAATAACAATTTTAATTTAACACAAATTGTATAATATCTTTAAAGTTATACATTTCCAAATATATCGACACTCTTTGTGATAAATTGACACACGTCTTTTGCAATATTAACGATAGCCAAATTTTGGGAAACAGTCTTGCAGCGTATTCGTTTTACAAAGCCAATTGTTTATCTTATATCAAAGAAAATACTTTTCGTGACTATAATCCAATGTAATACAATATTTGGTCCAGACCAAACCCCCCCCCCCTCCATAGTTGCGCCTATGTGGATTGTTATACTTATAATTATTAAAAACGAAAAATATATTGCGTTATATGCAAAATATGTATATAAGTACACGATATTTACATCTTAGATTAATTAATTATTTTGATGATTTGATCAATAGTTAACTTATATATATTATAGTATAATATGACGTGCGATATTTGTGATTGGCGTTATTTTCACGCTCGGCAAGTAATCCGCTCTCATTATCAACTGTGTGCTGATAACGATGCTCTTCTGCGTCCCCAACGTCTCAACAATTGTATACCTCAAGATCGTGGACAATACTGTTTTCATCTGGTACATGGCAAACTTTTGACCTGTAATTCATTGGTGTAAATTAATAACTTACTTGAAACGGATTCTTTTTTTTTTCGAACAAAGTTTTATGTTTACAATCTCTATTTACAGTTTATACGTTATACAATGAGTAATTTATTGGATGGGGGCTTCTGGACGTGAAGGGGAAGTCGGCCATTGACAGCACTCTGTGTGAAATGGATTCTATATTATAGCAACCAACAAGCGTTGTGTAGGTATGATATTATACGATCGGTCGAAATTCTGCCCCATAATTTAAAAGGAATAATATTATTATCCGAGCTAAAATTTTAACGTCCTAAAAACTTTTAAAAAATGACCTTAAAATATGTCCTAAAAATAAATAATAGGTAACCTTTAAAGGGGCAAAAAAAAAAAATCGTTAACTATAGTTAACTATAGTTATAATTGTATGTCTAGTGGTTTCTACAATGGAGTATTACTTGGAAACCACCGAGGAACAATATTTCAAAAACATATTTCCATGTTATTTACAAACAAAAAAATTATGTATCAATACAGGTATTAAAGAGGCCCTTAAAACTAAAAAGTCGGAATAATGTGAATAAAAATGCAAAATATCAAATATAATTTCAAATTTTAAGATCCCTGATTTAACTTCTGAGTCGGATTTTGTACTTAGAATTCTATTTATCATTATGTACCTACTAGATACTATAAAAAAAAATCCTAAACAGTCCCAGCCCTCATTATTAATTAATACTATAGATCGATATAAATATATTAATATTTGTTCGTTTTTGTGAAATTGCAGGCTATAAGATATTGCTGTCAATCAATTTTATAATCCTAATGACTTCAGAGTCGTATAGTATATTAATATATTATATTGTGAGTTATGACGCTCTATATATAGGTATTTGTGTACGTCGGCAGTTATATAATATTAAATAGCAATTCATGGGAAATGATAACCTTTTTTTGTTTTTGGTACCCTCAGGTAGGTGTTGTTCAAATTATTATAATTAAAAGTTGGCAACCATAAACGCAAACTTCACAGCCTCTAAAGTTATTACCTATGCAATTTCTGGGGCCGGCGCTGAACGGTATGTACGCGTAAGGGTGGCGTCCATTGCACTGTTCGGGCAAAAACCGATCAGGATCGAACTGTTCCGGATTGGGATAGATGTTTTCGTCACGGTGCAACAGGTGAGGGACGACGACCATCACCGATTTAGAAGGGATAGTATACTTGTCTGAAACATTTCAATTATTATAAAATTATTTATCGTAAGCGAACAGTATACGTATCTAACGCTGGATGAATGTAATTAAAAGATAGACTCTTTGAGCTAAATTTTACATAATATTGTACACATACTGAGGTGGAGCGGCTCTTTGAGGGTTCTCGTGATACCCGTCACGCTCGGATAAAGTCTCATTGTCTCTTTTATCACTCTTTCTAAATTTGTCATCGCTTTGAGGTCTTCCATTGTTGCGTCCCGGTCACTGTCGCCGAATATTTCGTAAAGCTCGTCTCTGACCGAATTCTGTTTGACATCAAAAATTGAATTAAAAATATGTCGTTTGTTCACATACGAAAAAAAAAATTACGGCTGTCATGAGCATAAATGCGCAATCATGACTTTCGGTGACTTGTCAACTTTTAGCATAGGAATAAAGAAAAAATTGGTAACGATAGTAAAACTATAGATTTGAAACGGTTAATTATTGGTCGCAAGATATATTATAAATCCGTTTAAAAACATTTATTTTTTCGTAGAAAAATTAATAAAAATATCGAGTTCCGAATATATTGAAAAATATATGAAAGGAAAAAAATCTATTGTACTGGATGATCTATTTAACATTCATAATTTCAGAAAATATTAACGTTTTTAAAAATATTTCGTTTACAAAACAATATTTTTTAGAATTTTTTTAGTCTTTTACTCTTTTAATACATTTTAAAATTAATATTCTTGAGTTGAATATTATTTGGAATATTTCCGATTTCGATCTATAATTACCAATATGTATTTTCACAAGTAGTTTATTATTTATGAACTATAAGTTATAAGTATTTGAAATTTAAACAATCAGAGAACATAGGGTACAAACATTTTTCGTGGTACCATTCCACTCCGTTCATCTAAACTTTAAATACTTTAAATTCATAAACTAATCTTCCCTACGAAGTACTCCAAAAATATCCTAAATTAGAATAAAGAATTAAAAATGCAGGGTATTAATGTTTTTAAAAATATTTTTGACTATTTTATTTTAATAACCTGCATTTTTAATTCCTTATTCCAATTCAGGATATTATTTGGAGTACTTCGTAGGAAATGTTAGTTTATGAATTTAAAGTATATAAAGTTTAGTAATAATATTTGTAGTCAATCATTTGCTATCAGGGTAGTTTTTGAAATATTCAGTGTCTTATATTGCATCGATAATATTTTTTCGTTACAGTTTTACTTACTTGCATCGATAATATTTTTTCGTTACAGTTTTACTTACTTGCATTGATAATATTTTTTTCGTTACAGTTTTACTTACTTGCATGTTTTGATCGAGCCCCAAATGAATTATAGCCATGGTCATGGCTATTGAAGACGTGTCGTGACCTTCGAAAAGAAACGTATCCACTTCTTCTCGTATATCTTTATCAGTCATCGCACCAGGATTTTCTTTGGAAACACCGACAAGAAGATCCAAAAACGAATATATCCGTTTCTTTCCTGCAATTGTTTAAGCGACGATCAAAATTCGATCACCAATATATCTACTTATAATATTTCTACAATATTTTGGTCTTACCATTTTCATCGGGCTTCTTTTGTTCTACGTTTTCTAGTATTTTTCGTCTCTCCCGTATGACCTAAATTATATATATAAAAAAAAACTCATTGTATAAAAGCTACAATAAAATATAGATAATATTATGTTTAAAAAAAGTGTTTAAGGTGGTTACATTTTCGGTGAAATCGTGTAATAACTTTAATGATTTACGAAATTCTCTGCCAATGCTACTAAGGTTGAAAACGATTTCGTTCCAATACCAAAACGTGAATATACGTTTGATTAGTATCTGGCTGACACTGCAGAAAACATAAAACGATTATTAAAAAACTATTGTAGGAACACTTAACGTGACAATTTATACACGTGGTGTAAGGTGTACTTACTTTTTGATTGCTTTAACGTAATTCATCGATTTACCCTCTTGAGTTCTCAAATTTACACCCATAATTGTTTCTGTAAATATATCGCACATGAAAAAAAACGATAGTAATAATATCATTAATGCCATTACTCATCGTGACATTATGGTATAGGGCTACATTATTTTATTTTTTTGTTGCATGTAAAATTAAGCATTTTGTGTGTTGACGTTACGAAATCATGAAATATATTCGAAACATGTCCACGTCTAAACGATAAAATGAAGACTTACCACACACAATGTCCAAAGCACAGAGAGTTACATGGGAGTCGATATCAGCTATGGATTTCCCGTTGTCTGATGCGTTTATGAGATTTTTGACCAACGAACGGGAGTGCTTATTTAGCGACGGCACGTAAGTTTCCAATATTTTAAAATGAAAAGTGTTGGTCAACAGTTTCCTCCTAGAATGCCATTTTTGATCTGTAAAACGGTTTCAATAACGATTTACCGAATGGCACAAATTGTTGGTATACATTTTTTAATAATGTTCAAAAATAGTGTCTCAGTTGTTTAAAAAAACATATTGATTTCACTTATTTTGTCTCTGTTCTTAATTATGTTTATGAAGTATTGTTAACCTTGTATAATATTGCTTCATCAGGTATTCTTTAAAATACTTAAGTACATTTTAAACGTTTCATTAATTAGCTGATGGTCATAATCTCAAAATGTATTACAAATGAACTGATGTATATGTGTGACTGACACACCACGTAATTACAAAATTACTGAGGGTTCGTGAAAAAATAACTAATACAATTTATTCCGAGGTAAATACAACATGTTTTCTTCAAATTAATAAAATTAACTAAAGTAATTCGAAAATTATGCCAAATCTATTATTTTCAATATTATAATCACATTCATTTTATGTTATTTACAAGGTTAGGTTAAATTAAAATATTTTTCCAAATAGTCAGTAATTTTTAGTCATGTGCATGGGCGCCGACTATTGGGGTGCTGCGGTGCTTGAGCACCCCATGGTTAATTACATGGGGTGCTCAGCACCCCATGAAATAAATAAAATATATAAATATTTATAATATTATTTATAATATTTATAATGTACTTCGTACATTTCTTGATGAGCTGACCAAGGAAAAATATGAAATAGGCACTAAGGCTAGTGGATTTTCGAAACTACTTTATAAATTTGATTTTTATTTTGTGTTGAAAATTATGATATTTATTTTTGAGAAAATAGAAGTTTTAAATTCGGAATTGCAAAAAAAATCTTTGCATTTTCAAGATGCAAGATTAAAAATTTAAGCTATCATAATTTCTGTAGAAGAAATACGAAAATCTGGGTTTGACCAATTATGGGAAGTTATAATTAATAAATCTGAAGAGCTAGGCTTAGGTGAAGTCAAGCTATCTAAACAAAGAAAAACTCCAAAACGTTTGATCGAAGGGGGACAGGAACATTACTTTATGTCAGCTAAAGAACAGTATAAAGCACTATTTTTTGAATGTGTTGATACCACGTTATCTGCTCTGCATAACAGGTTTCAAAGCAACGTACTTGAACATCTTGCTACAGTAGAAAACTTTATAGTAGATCCTCAAAAAATAAACACATCTATTATGATTGAATACTATGGCTCTGATTTCGATGGGACAAAATTATAATTACATCGCAATATTATGTTAGATGTCGCTAAAGCAAAAAAAATTAATATATCATCAGTGTCAAACGCAATTGATTTTTTAAAACAAGAAGTGTACTAACAAGATTTGGTACCAGAAATTCTAAAATTAATTAAAATTATGTTAACCATACCAGTTTCGTCGTGTACTGCTGAGCGTTCTTTTTCTACTCTTCCGCGTTTAAAAACATTTTTAAGGTCAACAATATGGTCAATGACGCAAACACGGCTTAATGATGTAGCATTATTAAATATACATAAATAAGAAGAAATAAATATTGAAAATATTGCTAACAAATTTATAAAGACTACCAAAGTGAGACAAAATACCTTTGAAATTTGTTAAGCTATTTTAATTCATTATTAGAAACTTAGAAATTTTTACTTACCTATTTGTATATAAGTTATAATTTATTTGTCTTACGCTGTAAAAATTTAGAAAAATAAAGTCAATAAAAGAGGAACTAATTTGTTTAATTTAACACTCTTTGTTGATTTTTTTTTTTTTGATTAGGTACAAGTTAAATTATTTAGGATTTTAGGCACCCCATGAAAATTGGAAAACCTGGCGCCCATGGTCATGTGGCATTGCGTTGGCGTATATTTCCGTAAAAAAGAACAGATTATTTCTGTAAGTAACAACATGAATGCGGATCTAAGAAAAAAAAGGGGCAAAGTTGTTTTAACTACAGCGTAGGTGTAGAGTGTACCTCATTATTGAGTAAGTCACTGTAATATACGTATACATTTAAACTCAATAATAACTCATTAGGTACTCTTACGAAAAAAAATTCTGAGCAAAGAATTCTGGTTTGACAGCCTATATTACGAAGTATATTTGAATGATGTACAGTAATTTATTTTGCTATTTGAAATTCGATAAGTTGAATTCATTTTTGCAAAATAGCATTTTAAAACATCATTGTGTGAAATACAAATAACTAAAATCGATATTCTTCTACACCTAAAAAACAAAATCGATTTTGTAACTAATTTTACGTGAAAATACTCTGTTTTTTGTCAATAATTTTTTTCCCCATTATTTGGAAAAGTAGGTACTTGACATTATTTACTTTAGACCCCAAACTCGATCTAATTTTCTACCAGTAACCACGCACCCAAAGTTGAAAATTTAAGTATTTTTACTGCTCCAGAAGATGGTGAAATCACATAGAAAACACACATACACACACACTCGCACGGAATCTAAAATATCAAATACGAACTAGCCAATAAAAACTCAAATAGTTATTATATGTTTGACGGAAACCAGAGATTGAAACTTTGGTTTTGCGGAACCGATTTTCTTCGGGAAAAGCCCGTATAATATAATATTCACTATACAGATTTAAGCGCATACTAACCTTAACCTATAATACAACGACGAAAGTGTGTGTATAACAATAATAATAACAATATACGTACCAGTGCTGGTCAGTAGCCCTTTGTTCAACCACGGTTCAAGCATCTCATAATCGGGACCTTTCGTAATATGCTGTACGCTCGACAGTAGTACCTATAATAATATTATGAGATATATTATTATTATATTATACGCACGCGACATTCAAAAACGCGCAATAATTACTATATTATATTATACATATTATAATATTAAGCACTAGGTATACCTGGTTTATTACAAATTGATTACCGCGGTATCCGAGCACTGATTAGTGTACCAATATTATATTATATTGTTATTACGACGGACGTACCTTTATATCGTCCGGATCGTTTATGATGATATAATGACGTGCTATGATTTTGAGGTGGATCAGCGACCCATACTTTTTGATAATGTTGTCGAAATACGGCAAAATATCTGTAAAATAAATCACGGATCCTATTATTACAATTTACAGGTATCTACACAATGGAAATACAATTATGTCGCGTTTTTATCTAAATCTAACGCCGTGTCCGTTACACTAAATCGTATTATATTATATTTTTATTTAATATTATTGTTGTTAATTTATTCTTTTACCGTTTTGTAGTAAATATTCGCTGCGTAGTTATACTGTGAAAACTGTCGAACTGTTCCATTGGTCATTATGCCAGTTAAATTATTAATTCAAATTTCAAATAAATGATAATATTACAATATACGATTACCTATAATATCATATTATTCTCGAACCACACTATTGTTCGTTGTTTATAAATATTAGAACATTATAAATTAATGCATTTGAAGTTATGACAGTGATAAATATAGACGCCGTGTCCCGGACGTTCCGGATGTTCTTAAACGGTTCTTAAAAAAAAGCTGTTTTTAGGGGTATAGCTATACCGTCTATACTCTATATTTATATTATGTGATGATATTATCCACAAAATATAATATTATATTTAAGCTATACACATCTCAATTAGGCAATTTATCTAATCTACTAAAATATATCTACATAAACAATTATTTTTATCAAGAAAAATTGCAGAAATGTTTGTATTATTATATAGTATTTTATTATATTTATTTTTATTTTAACATTAATATTTACGTATAAAACCATAAAAACGAAAAATTTCAAAAAATGTTTAACTTGTTGGATTGTTTTTAAATCAATTAAGCTAGGAACGCTTTTTGTATATTACATAAAATTTAAAAAGGGGGACGAGGTGGCCGAGTGGTCTAACGCGTCGACTGCGGCGCTGGCAGTCGCGGGTTCGCCTCTCGACCACTGGGCGGCATTTTTCTCCGGGCAAGTCACGGTGTCCGGAGTACAAGTGCCGCCATCCCCCAACCCGGGGCATGGCAGAAACCTACGGGTGCCCCAATAAAAATTCTGCCACCACAAAACACACACGTGTACCAACCTACCCAAACTAAAAACCTACAGTTCCCTACCAACACCCAATGGCCTATGTTGCCGCGGGTTATCCAATAAAATAAAAAAAAAAAAAAAATTTAAAAAAAAAAATGTATTTTGCCTGTTAATTCGGTACCCGTACGTTGTCCGTACATAATAATATATAGGTATAGATAGGTAATCGTATTAGTAGGTTACATACTAAACAAATACTGAAATACCTCAACAGTCGATTAAGCTGGCTAAGTTCATATAAGTTGATATGAAAATTTACTAACTAGTTTAGTTAAAAATTTAAAGTAAAACTTTGCCCATCTTTGGTAATAGAGACCAAAATTTATTATTATTTTCAATAACTCAGATTTTCTTTGTGCCATTATAGTGACTGTGGTGATTTGAAATTTTTTTTTAAATATTAAAATTAAAATTTTATTGCTGTAAATTATTTAGTCGATGATTTTCTTTTAAAAATGTTGATGTGTCTAAATAAAAATTCCTACGAAGGTTCTTTGTTACAACAATGTATACAGATTAAAAATGATAGTTCTAAAAAATGATTTTACAAAAATATAAAATAATATTGAATCTAATATTTATTGTACTCGGAACATTTTTAAAGGTTATTATACATGTTAATAAATATTAATAAATATTTGTAATTACTGTAATTTTCATATCAAATCATAATATAGCCCCCATATCTTCTAAACAATCTAAACCTACTACCTATCATGCATGATTGACGTATTATTCTTAGTACACCAAGTTAAATAACTCAACGCCTAGAAAACATTTTCAAAACAATTATCTTCTTACTTGTAGTATAATAGAAACAAAAAAGAATATTATCATATTATTTATGTATGATCGAGATTCAATTATCATCGCGTAATACTTATGTCAATGTAGGTCGCTAGATATTAATTATGGTTACGTAATGTCAATTTGCGAATTATGAATTTGTGTGATCTAAATTTAAAGGAATGTTAATTTCTTTATAAAAATAATTTAATTGCGTTTGATGTGCCAAACCAGTGGCGTCCGCAGGGGAGGGGGGCTAAAGGGCTGAAGCCCCCCCCCAATTGCCCGTATTATTGTTACTTTTTCAAAAAAATATTAATCAAGTTAAACTGTCAACTATAGTAAGCCAGAAGTAAATTTCATATATGTCTTACCAGAATGAATTCATTTTTGAAAGAACATTGTATTTGCATACCAATTTTCATAAATTATCTGTAATTTTTAGGTAAAAGTAAGAACTACTTGTATGAAAGACTTTGTATTAAATTGTCTAGCCTTAGCTATATATATTTTATATTTTATAAGTTTTGAACTACAAATTAACTGTCATTTTGACGAAATTTGAACTTTAAATGCTTATAAAAAATAACCATGGTGCCTATGTAGTGTTTGAAGTATGAAATATCAAATATTTCACAAAAACGTGACACATTGAAATTTTTTTACACAAATAAAAACACAATTTATTTATTTTTTTAACACAATGTTCAGTGTTCTAAATTCTAATGACAGAATTCAGTATTTATACAATATACATGTCTAATATTGTATACCTACTTGTATCATTTAAACATTAAAATATTTAAAAATTTTGAATACCATTTTAAATGTATAATACCAAAGGTTAGGTATACATACAGGTACCATATAGTTATGAAGGTAATTTATGACAATTATATGTAAAGATAAAACTTATTTAAAAATAAAACAAAATATATCAAAATACCTACTGAAATATTTCATTTTTTAAATTTCATGAAATTTTCAAACACTATGCATATGTATTGTTAATATTTTAGCTATAATAAAATAACTTATGTATTACATTTTTAAGGTTTTTAACCGGATAAATAATTATATTGACATTTATATAGAAAAGAAAAATTTAATTATTCAAATACAATCCAAGTGAAGACGGTATAACCAAACATTTAAATACATTTTCATTTTTTTTCTCCAATTATTTTTAAAAGCACTGAGAATTTTCAATTTCGACGACCTAAAAGTACCAACTAGATGATTATGATCAGAGCATTTTTTCTACCAGAAAATTTGAAAAGTTACAAACATTTTAAAATACCTACCTCAAATAAACGTCTGAAATTATTAGACTGGACAAAATAAAATAAAAATGTAACTAATGTTCAAGCCCCCCCCCCCATTGAAAAATCCTGCGGACGCCACTGTGCCAAACCCAAGTATATTCATATTGGAAATTCATCTTACCGTATATTAATATTAAAATGTATATTATAGTATTATATTTTATATATTACAAACTCGTGATAAAAAAGGGGGGTTCCCATTTAAAAAAATGGGTTTGTATCACCAAAGGGCACTTATATATTGTATGTATATTTTTAAGTAAATATAGTTAAAAATTCAGAAATTCAGAATTTGAATACATTTATTATTAAAGGAAAAATAGGGGAGAGAACGAAGAAGGCGACCGCTCTGGATGTATAACCGTCGTGATTGATGTTACAGATTGTCCTAATACTAACGTATTATAAAGTGTTATAAAAGTGTTATAAAACTAGCTGTTATATATTTTTTTTAAATAAATTAATGTTTTGTATTTCATTTTTTAACGACACAAATGAATAAAGCGTCATAACATCAGACATTCGTGCTTGATACCTATATACCTAATGAATAAAAAATAAAACTTTATACGTTAAGTACCTCTTGGTCCAAAACTAGCGAGTTTTAGCGACAGAATCAATGAGGTCCATTGGCTTCTCGTGACCGACGGCAACAGTGAAATCTGTCGTCCTCGGTTTTCAGAAAATCTGTCGGAGAATAAATAGTACACACCGAGGACCACGAGTGATAGCAACGCCATCCACAGAGTGTTCGAATCCGACGTCAGTGCTCCGATCACGTTGGAGAAGATCATTTTGACGAGGGGGCTTTAAATTCAAAAGCAACTCGAAATTCGATCGGTTTGCGACCGTTTGCTACAATACTGCACAGAAGGCACAGCAGTGGAACATCGGAAAATTGTTGTCGGGTCCACAAAACTATCGAATCCTTTCCTTTTCCACCGAGGAAAACGGTTTCGCAAACGGCGATTAGTCGGTCCGGTGATTTCCTCGTCGCAGCTAATGATAATAACTATAGTGAACTCGCAATCGTCATGCACATATTACAATTATTATTATAGCTAATTTATTATAATCTATTATATTACACCGGACGGAATTTCGTTTAAAAGATAAAAATCAAAACACGTGTTTACGATGCTCCTTTACGCATTTTCGACTCGGGTACTTTATATACTCTGTAGTCTGCACACAGATTCCCTCGCTCGAGTCACTATACGCAGACGACTAGCAGAGAGGTGGGGTGGGATAATCACAATAACAATAAATAATATTATGGCCGATAGTAGGTAGGACGGTGTTATTGTCCGTATAATATTATAATATTATATCGTTATTGACTTTTGTCCTAGTCGTATAATGAATATTTCAATATCGAAATGCGTTTAATCCGATTGCGCCAGAAATACCGCAAAATACGTTATTGTAGTTATAATATTGTTATACATGACCATCGTGATTTGTCGATAACGAAATCGTCTGGGACGTATAAGGAAGTATTCGCTTGCTGGTTTTGGCACACGTGTTTGTATTTACTTATTGATAGATTCATTTTTTTTCATCATAAATCACATATTCGCAACTGCACAAATCCCGGTGTTATTGGACAACACGCACATGTTGTTGTTGTTTTCATTGTTTTATTGACATATTTTCAATGTTAAATTATTATTTATTATGTACTTGCTACACGTTAACGTGCAACGAAATTCCCGAGCATCAAAAAAGGCACCGATGACCGACATTATCAAAACTGCATGCCGTTCGTTTTAGGACTTTTCGGAACAATACTGATTTACAGTACACATATACAAATAACAGAGTGAATCGTCTTGCATGCTCACCACCTTTTTTTTCTTTAATAATATATGCAGTTCTTGGAAATCTGGTTTTTTAAATGTATTTAAACATACTTACTTAAATACCATGTTTTTAAGTTACCGGTATTGTTTGTACTAGATACGTTAGGTTAGTTTACATTTAATTTTACTATTAAAGTTGATAGAAATATTAAAATACCTATGTCATATTTATTTATAAAAAAAAAACAATTATTTGCAGGCTAGACATAATATAGTTAAATATAATATAGGAAATGATTAAAAATATAATAATGTATAATATTAACAACTCATATAGTTTAAATATATATTATTAAAATGTCTTATGTTAGCTATGAAATAAAAAAACTTTTATGAATTTCTAACTGAAAAATAAATTACAACATTTTAAATTATTTTCATCGCTATAAATAGTTCAAAAAAGAGTCAAAATAGTTTGAAAATGTTACCCATTATGGAAATTGGTAATCTTAACATTTGGTGAAAATTTCGAGTGTCTACGGTAATTCGTTTTTGAATTACAACAAAATATCAAAAATCAATAGATAAAAATTCATTAATTTATCTTTAAAAATCCAATATCGGAAAAATTTTTAATTAAAATGCTCATAAAAAATTAATATTACTTAACGGTCAGTTTTTTTTTGTTTAAGGTAAAAAAATTTGTGGGAAATATTCTATTTAAATTTCTAATGTTAGCAATGAAAAGAAAAACTTTATGAATTTTTAACTGAAAAATTATTTTAAAATGTTCAAGATTTTGACGAATTATGTCAAAATTTGAACTTTAAATGCATAGAAAAAATTATCGTGACTATTTATTTGTAATATTTTTGAACTTTCATTAATGAGACTTATAAAAAACCTTACATTAAATTTTCAAGCTTTTTACTAAAAAAGTTTTTTTCAAGAATACTTTTAAAAAAATTTACAAAATTCGAAAATTTCTCAAAGCTACAATTAGTTTAAAAAGAGTCAAAATATTTCGAAAATTATACCATTTACGGAAAATGCTAATAAAAATAATTGGTAAAATGTCAAGTGTCTACGGTTATTAGTGTTTATAAAAAAGGGCGAATATTATGTCGATTTTTAAATTATTTAATAATTTATAAATAATAAAATACTCATACCTAGCTGCTTCATTAAAACGCATATACGTAGGTGAAGAACATCCAACGAAAGAATTTTTGTAGGAAAATAATTCATAAAATAGGAAATATACACACGTACTTGACTGTTGATGCGGAAGTTCAAGGATTAGTGTTTTGAAACAATTAGCAGATAAGAGCTTGTTTTTAAAGGTTACATGATAGTATAAACTCAAAGGAAGACGCTCTTAAAACCTCCGTTTCGTTATCAGTGTATGACGTAGGTATATGGGCGAATTAAGTATATACACGTCCCAAATAATCCATACGGTTTTTGTTTGTTATTCATGTTGATTGAGTAATAAATATTGATCAGCTATCTAAAGATCAGAACGCTGATATAATACTATAGCTGCCCAACTCATGATTGCTCGTGCTAAAGATTTGTTTTTTTTTTTATAATTATATATATATATGCATTGTTTTTACTAACTATAATAGTTTTATAATAATATGTGACCTTCAACCATTTAAATAAACGAAAAAATTATCTCATAGGTTTTGATCGATATTTTAATTTTAAAATGATAGTTATGATAAGAGCAGACAACGCATTATGTTCTATTCAAAATACTCAATTGACTATCGGCCATTGAGGCAGTGCGTAGAGGCGTTCTGATAATTAAATGGTATGAGCACTGATTGTCTTTTTTAGAAACGTCAATAAAAAAAATATTCAGAAGAGTCCTCCCCCCCCCCCCCAAAAAAAAAGAAATATGACTTAAGGAGCAAAATTAAGCCTTAACACAATTCTTAATCTTAAAGTAAAAAATACCTAAATATGTAACAATATGCAACAAAAATAATATGACAACAGATTTGGCTTTTTCGTAACACGAAACAAATTTTTTAGCAAAATTACGATTCCGTGAAACAAATATGCAAATATTATAGAAACTTACACTACTCTGGTTATATTATGAGCATTTAAAAATTGCTATATTTTACATTATTTAAACTGACTTTCTCACTTTTATTACGATATCCATTATCAATAAATACCTAGGGGCTACGGATTACGAGATGCCCTAGATAATGAACTTGCCTTTAAATGTTATAATAGGTCAATATTCACTCAATGATATTAAAGCTAACGACACAAAATCAGTACTAGTGAACTAAAATTTGGTATGTTATAATATGTTTGTAAGACTGAGATAACACGTTATCCTGTCTTCATGACATTATAAATTCATAACAAAATCGCCACTGCAGTGCATTTATTATAACTCAAATATTGCTTTGCCGGTTTGGCGAATTTGCAAATTTTTCTGGCCAGTCACATTGAATGCTGAGTTAGCACAAAACTGAAAAAACCGTCCATATCAACGCAATAGACAACTAATACACAAAATGTTTTAATGTTTTTTGAATATTTTTTTATTAAAGATAGTACCAACCAATAGGTAAATATTTCATTTTTCAAGTAGTAAGTTACTGGCACTATTAACTGCAAAGGAAAATATGCACCGACAAGCATAATATTAGTAATGATAATAATATCACGTATATTTTGTCAAATAAGAAGCATGGGGTCAGTGCTACGTCATGATGTAACGCGAAAAGTCATCGACAACCTATACGTTATAATTCTTGTCTGGTTTTGAAAATTGACAATAAGACGACTATTTACAAGATTAATATACGAAAATGAAATGTATCTGTTTCTTCTTTTACTGAGGTGGTCTTTGCCCCCTCGAATAGAATGTGTACATGGTTGCACAAAAACACTGCAATTTTATAAAATTATGCACATTACATAAACATCCAAATCTGAATCATCATCTTTTCATTTCCGCCGATATTGATCAAAATACAATATCAGTAATCACGTGCTATTCGTTAGCTACAAGTAAAAAGAAATATTTCTAGTGCACAGAATAGTATGAAGGACAATGATAACATGTTGTTAGTGCGCCTGCTTAGGTATTCACTACGAGATTGGCCATTTGAACACGACTTACACAAGACCGTAGGAAGGTGGTTGTAACTGGTCCCTACTTGTATTGTATAATTTTGAATATAACGTCCTAACCTTATATTTTTTAGTCTCTCCTCTACAGGCCCGATACCGCCCGCCGCGGTCCGATTATTCAAGCCAACCGCACGACCAGGATGTAAATATTTCCGCATATACACTGTTATACATTTTGAAATTTAATTAATAAATAAATATGCTTACGCCCAACCCGTGACTCGACAATCGACCAACCAGAAGAGAGTAAAGGCAGGCAAACGATCATCAACGGAAATAAGCAAGATTTACTATATACTAGTCGGTACGGAGGATATAATATTATATAAGTACCAGTCAATAGCCAGAACGACTGTTTAACAAACCGCTCTACTAGTCGGTACGGCAGAAACATATACCTGACAATATAGATGGATATTATTACAATATGATGTTGACAGATTGCTCCAATAACCATTATTTAATGTAATATTTATGATAATATTTCTTAGAAAATTATTATACTCACACTGTATAAAAATTGGAATGTTTACGATAAAATCAAACCTTATAATAATCGTTAATTATTACTATAGCTTATAAGTTATAGTGTTGTAAAGTCAAGTTTATAAAAGTATCGTAATAACTAATAGGTACGCTATAGAGGTACCTATCTACTACATCAGTGTTCTTCAACCTTTTTAGGCTGCGGGCCACCTATTATTTTTTTTGAATAATTTCGAGGGATGCATTCCTTATAAAAACCACTATTAAATGATTAAAATGTTTTAAAAAATATATAATTATGCTATATTGCTATGCTTAAAATGTGTTCGTGGGCCCTTAAA